GCCTGCTATTTGTATTACTGCATCGAAAAGCTTTTAGAAAAGTCAATGATCATCTTCGTGGCCACTTGCGAGTAAGATATTGAAACTTTTGTATAATTTATTTATAATTATTATTATAGTTATAGTTTTGTAAATTTTTATTTTTTTAATAATTTATTGTAAATTTGTAATGCGGAGATCTTGTCATAAAATACATCTTATGTTGAACGAGCTGAACATCTTAAGCACTCCTTTGCACTCAAAAATTACTCAATCTCAGGTTTTATATGATTCAATATATTTTTAAAATGTTAATTAAATTTATTTTTATTAATTTTTTTTTTTAGAGAACTTCGTCGCTTGCACGCTTTCGAGGAGGGGCAGTGCCCATCCTCGTTGCGACCGACGTGGCCAGCCGGTTTTATTTTTTTATTTTAATTTCTGAATCTTTAAGTTTTTAAAATTTTGTTTAGCGGGTTGGACATTCCTCTCGTGGATTGCGTAATTAATTTTGATCTTCCTTTGAAGGAGGATGATTATATTCATCGCGTGGGTAGGACAGCCCGAGCGGGGGGGTTAGGTAGGTTTGCTTCCCAGCTTCTTTTTTTATATGATTTTCATTTGTTTATAGGAAAGTCTTTGACGATTGTATCTCAGTTTGACGTTAAGCGCTTTTTGAATATTGAAAAAAGAATTAGTTTAAATTTATAAATTTATATTTTTTGCAACTAATTTTCTTTTGAATTATGGAAGAGAAAAAATGGAAGAATTGGATTTAAATGAAGATCTTGTTTTAAAAGGGTTGAAAAAAACTACGAAAGCGATGCGCATTGCTGATTTGGTAAAGCATTTTAATTTTTCTTATAAGAAATATTAATTGCGTTTATAGAAAATGGAGGATAGTGAGTTCGGAGCAAAACAGAAGAGAAATGCGGAAAAGCAGAAAATTTTGGTGGTTTTTTTATTTGTTTACATTTGTGCTATTATTTATATCTTTGAACAGGAAAAAGGAAAATCGCAAGCAAAAAAAAATGAAGTGAATATTTTTTTCTTGTAGAAATAGTGATACTTTTTAATTTAATTGGGAAAATGGATTTTTTTATTATAATAAATAAAACTATACTTTTCAAAGTTCTATGAAATTTAGCATTTTATAATGATTTCTGAATTATAAACTTTCATGGGCCCTAATTATAATTTAGTTTACTGTGATTGTTGTATTGCTGTGCATACAGCTTCGCAGCGCATTTAGTATTTGGACTTTTTTATTACTCATTAAGGAATATATTTTAATTCCATGGTTTTTTTTTTTGAAAAGGGGCTCATCAAGCATTATGTCAAACAAGCGCTTTGTAAATTTATATTTTACTTTGTATGATAATCTAATTGTGTTCTGCTATTTTCCCTTCGAGTGTTACGCTTTTTATATAATATATATAAAAAGAAATTAATTATTTTGATTATTCTTTAACAAGTGCTTTGTAAATTTATATTTTACTTTGTATGATAATCTAATCGTGTTCTGCTATTTTCCCTTAGAGTGTTACGCTTTTTATATAATATATATAAAAAGGAATAAATAACTATTTTGATTATTTTTTAAATTTTATATTAAATTGCGAGTGGCACGCTCTCTATTTGTAGTAGAATGGTGCCCATATACTAAGTTTTCTAATAAAAAATGCTCTCTAAAATTAATTTTAACTTCGTGTGTACACTTTTAATGTTCTTCGCACAGCCGCGTACAGCAGGGTGTTAAAACTAAAAAGTCTTAGGAAAAACACTGCATTAATGTTTAAAAGTAAATCTATATTAGCGGACAGGAACGAGATCAGCAACACTAATAATCCTTGGCTCATACTGAATAAAGAGAAGCAAGAGCAAAGATCTCTGCGCTTCTTCACCACTAATTTCTTTATACACAGAACTGGAGGCCTTCTTCTTTTAAACGTGGTTTTCTTAGACACTTTTTACTCAAAGAATTCGTATAGCATTGAGCTTATTAGTATGGAAGGATTGTCGAGAAAAAAAAAAGCGCTAGACACTCATGGGTATGCAACTCTATTCTAAGGGACTTGCTAGATTTAACTTATTAAGGCTAACTTTTGATTCTTCAAACAGTTTGCTTGCATAGTAATAGTTGTAGTAGTTTTTATGAAATAATACATATCTTAGATCTGACCTAAGGAGGTCCGACTTTTTTTCTTATATGCTTTTTCGTTGGGAAGTTCGTTAAAGATAGTTGGTTACGAAGATTGGATAAAGTGTACAAAATTTATATTAAATTCCTTTATGTGCTCCGTTAGCTGCTTTTAAAAATTCCTGAAATACGCTTTAAATCTTTTTTAAGGAACTAAAAACTATGACGGGCTACGAGGCTGACTAATTATTATTACTCATTTAAAAAGGTTATACCTCTAAACTTCTAAGAAAATTTAACGTGGAGATTAAGAACTTTGTTCATTTCAGAGCACTATGAATCTGAAATACCGCATCGCTCCTTTTATCTATTCTTTTGCTTTTTACAGGCCAGATTTTTTTTTAAAACTATAGGTAAACGTTAGGACATGCAAGCATGTATTAAGTTTGAGCTTATTTTTAGCTGAGACGTCGTATAGCTATTCAATTTCACGGAATACGAGTTATTTATAACATAAAGCTGTTAAACGAACTACGAAAATACTCACAGTTCTTGTGTTTTACGGAGTTTTTAAATAAACCTTGTAATACCACTAAACCGTCAAAATTTTATATATAATATTATCGTAGTTTTGTCCGTTATCTACCATTTTTATTTAACTTAAAAACTTTGACACGAGCTAAAACGTTGCTGGTTTTACTCTTTCCATGCCTGCTTTTAGTTTCTTGGCAAGATTGTGTTCTCGAATAGCTTATAATAGATTACAACTAACAACTTCGTTCGGAGAAGCTTTCGCTTAGATATTGGGACTTTAGAGCCAAAATTGTTACCTACCCACGCTATTATACTACTCTTTATAAGAAAGTACAAACTTTTGTTGTTTCAGTTATTAAAAATACAATATTCATAAAGTGGCTTTTCCCCATATTTTTGTTATTTATTTATTCATTAAAATGTTATGTTCAATGTATATTATTATTTTTTCAATCACTAAGACATCTACAAAACTAAATTTATGTCATTTAGTTTCCACTTAAGCATACCTCAACACTTCTTGATGATGAAGAGATCCTGCCCGTGCACGATAATGCAGGCAACAGAAAATAGTATTATAAAAATCGCTACTAAAATTATAATTTAAAATTAACGTCGCTACTTACAGTTTTCCAGTGTTACGTGTATTCACTGAAGGGATTTCCGGTAAAGTTTTGGCTTCTTATGTAGAATTTATACGCCGTGCTGCAAAAGGTTGGTTTCTTTTTTGGAAAATTCAGATTCATACTTTTTGCTAAGCCACGACTTGTACTTTTTAGTTTTAAAAAGAAAAATTTAAGTTTTAAATTTTTTTTTAATACTTTGCTTTGTATAAGTACTTAATTTTTAATATATTTTTTTATTTCAAAGTAGTTAATGAAATTATAAAACCAATTTTTTTTAGAATTTGAAATTCCCATTAGCGCTGATAGAAGTATATTAAAAAAAGTTAAGGAAATTACTGTTCCGCGTGCCTTTTTTGCTCATTCCAAGACGAGGATTATGTACGCCCGAATTACTTATCAGAACGAATTAACGGTAATTTTTTTTTCTTATTTTATACTAATTTTATTAGAAATAATAATTTTTTTAAAATAATTGAATTTTAAGTAATTTAGAATACTATTTTTTTCAATACACAATTCACACTATAGAGAATTTCTTTAATAATTTTTTATGCTACAAGTTGCGCTGTTGCCTAGAAACAAATTACTTACAATTTAAATTCTTAAAGTATAATTTTTATAAGTACAAAAATAATTTTTAAATTAAAAATAAACTAATTTTTTATAAATATATATTTTTAATTTGGTTAATTTATAGTTTTCTTTAATATCTACTTGTTTTAAAATTTACTTGTAACTAATTTTTTTAAAAAATTTTCTGTTGCAAGTAAATTCTTTGCTCCCGTTCTAATTGTTTATCAATTTTTTTTTTAATTGGCTGACTTTCAATTATGTTTAAAATTTATATAATTATTATGAAAATAATATTTTTGTTACTATTCTATTTTGGATGTAGATAATATCTGTTAAGGACTCATGATTTTTTTTACGTTCGATTATCTTATTTTTATAACTTCGCTAAACTTTTTAATATCATTTATTGTATATTTATAATAATCTTTAATGATTATTAAATTTTAATTTACTGTATTTGTGACTATGTTACCAAAAAATATAAAAACTAAAAAACCTTTACATAATAAAAACTTTATTACCGATACTTTTATTATTAATTTAAATTTTTACTACAAATTAATTTTTTTAATTTTTAAATTAAAGATGGATCTTTTATTTTTTTCCTAATATCATGTTGATTTTATGTTATTTTACAGTTTTATAAATTATTTCATGCATTTGTTAGATGATTTTAAAACTTATTATTAATAGCAACTAAATTTATATTATATTTTTTTGCGTTTAATTTATTTTTAATTTGGCTTCAAGTAAATTTTAGATTATTTTTTATATATAATAAATTTATTTTTTGTTAAATTTATTTTATTTCAATTGTATTTATTTTTATTGATATTGTTTTACTTAGCAATAAATACTATCACTAATGCATTTCTTATTACTTTTCAGTTTTTATTTTAAATTACTTTTAAATCTACTTTATTGTAAAAAGTAATTTTTATTTGCATTAATTTTATGCATCTGCATCGTTAATTTTTTTTTAAAAAAATATAGAATATAACTTTTTTTACTTCTCTTTCCGCTTTACGAAATTATATTATAATGCTATTTTACCATTGAAAATATTCTTCTATAAATTTAACTGTTTTCTATTTTTTGTATACTGAAATTAAGGTTAGAAATTTTAAATAATTATTTTAATGTTTGATATTAAAAAAAATTTAATTTACCGCTTTCGTGATAGCAAAAAAGAATTATTAAAATCTAAATAGTATTTGGATGAACTAATTAATTAAATTTAACTTTTCATAATTTTTCTTTTTTAATTAATTTCAATTTTAATAATTTTGATTTTAAATTTTTTTTAAAACTCATTTTTTTTAAAAAATCTGCTTTTGCTTCAGTTATACAATATTTCACCCGAAACGAAAAAAGTATTTGTAGATTACATCGCTACTCATTCTCCTGGCGGCGTCTTTCTTGCTTTGACTGATATCGAGTAAAAGATAATTGTTTATTTAATTATATATAAATTATTTTAATTTATTTATAAAGTTTCTTTAAAAGTTTCTTTTAATAGTTATTTATACTAATTTATAATATCGTATATTTTTATTATTAAATAATTTTTAAATTTATTTATTTAGATTTTTGTTTATATTCAAAGTTACTTAAAAAGTTTGTTTTAATAGATTTATATCCGTATTTCAGGTTTCATAAAAACTTGTTTTTAACAGAAATTTTTATTAACTTTATACTATTTAATTTAATTATTATAGTAATCTATAAAATTATTTTATTTTTTCATAGAATTAACTTTAAATTATTTTTTTTAAAAGTTGTTCAAAAGTTTGATTTTAGTAGTAATTTCTAATTATACCAGACATATTTTTTAATTTGTTTTTTACTTAAATTTATTACAAATTATATTAAATTCGATTTATGGTTATCTAAAAGTTTTTCAAAAAGTTTAATTGCTAAGTAAATTTATTTTTTTTATATTCATATGGTGCATTATTATCAAAATTTTTAGTATACGGAGTTTTGGGCTCCTTAAACATATATAGTAAACGTACCTTTTTGGAAATATCGATTTTTTGCTAAAATTAATTTTAGAATTTTTTTTATTTTTTTTTATCATTTCTGAATAATTTCGATTTATTTTTTATGTTACTATTATTAAGATTTATATATTTCTTAATTCCTTTGAATTGGATTTCAAGATTTAAGTTCTTCTTTAAAGTTTTTTGAAAAGGTTGATTTAGAAAGAAATTTTCTTGTTTATATGTATTTTTAAATTATAAAATTTTTAGAAATTTTAGTTTTCTTATAAAAGGTAAAAATGTAATAATAAAGAAAACTAAAAAGGAATTTATATATTTATAATATTTTTTTTTACTTTTAAAGGAAAAAGTAAACATTTTTATATCTAATAAATATTTTATTAATTTAATTGTTTTTCATATATAATAATTATATTTACTTTTCTTTTCTTAAATATATTACTTGTGTATAATATAAACTTTATAATATCGATAGCATGCTACTTTTTTTTTTTTACTGCCTGTAATATTAAAAAAATAATAAAAACGATAATAATAATAAAAATCCTGAAAATATAAAATTTATAATAAAAACAAATAAAAAACAATAAAGAAGTAGTAATAAAAAAAAATTATATAATGAAAAATACAAGTTTTGAATTTATTTTTTTTTTGAAGTATACGAAAAAAATAGTATAAATTTTTATAATATTTGAAAGTTGTTTTGTTTATTATAATAATATATAATTTTTTTCTGTAATATGAAAAAAGTAATACAGAATTTTTATATACAAAAATATATTTTTATTCTTTTTTAAAAATTTTTTATTTATTATAAATAGTATTTTATATTTTTTCTCTTTAATTCTATATAAAAATGTATAGCTTACTTATTTTTTTTTGAAAGTTTTTATATTATAAAAATATATTATTGTTATTTTTAAAGTTTTTACTTATTTAAACAATTTTTTGTATAATTTCTTTATAATTTTATATGAAAAAGTATATTTTTATTACTTTTATAAGTTTCTACATATTATAATCATATAAGTTTTTCATTTTCAATTATATAAAAAAAGTAATATAAACATTTTTAGTGTATAAATATATATGTTTATTATATTTTAGACACTTCACTTTATCTCAGCTCATTGAACGTTGCGGAGGCGAAGCGGCTCTTCAAGAATATAAAAATGTGCTTTATTTATTAGTATATATATAAAATTTCCAAACTTGTTTTATTTTTTTGAGAGAAACTTATTTTTTTATAAACAATTTTTATATATATTTTTATTTTTTTTATAGTTTGTATATGAAACTTGTATAGATCTATAATGATTTTTTAATATAATAAATAAAAAAGAATAACACAAAGGTATAAGTTGCTTATACTGAAAAGTTTTTATTAAAAATATAAAATTAAAAACTAAATGCTTTATTAAAGCTTAAAAAAAGTTTAGCGTGTATTTTTACTTTAGCAGATGAAGTATTATTATTAAAAGGTTTATATTCTTATTATTTATAATCATTATATATTATTTTTTTATTATTATTATTAATTTTACGCGATTTTAAAGTTTTATACAGAAAACTTTGTGAATTTTAAAAAAAAAAAATTTAGAAAACTAAAAAAATAGTAAAAATGAATTTATTTTATTTAACTTTTCTACATGTCTAATATTATTTATTATTAATAAAATTATTCGTTTTTTTATAATTTTTTTTTTCTTTTATATTCATTTATATATATATTTATGTATTTAACTTTTTATGTTTTCATTATTTAATATAGATATTATTTTTAGAATATTTAAAATTAAATATTTCTAATTGTTTAGTTATAAAAAATATATTGACTAAGAGAGTTATCTTGTTCCTTTTTTTTTAAAATTTATATATTTATTTTTTAATTTAATTTTTCAAAAAATACACTTTAGATTTCCAAATTTTTTTTGTATTACTTTATTTTTTTTTTAATAAATTTATTTAGTTTTTTAAAAAATAAATTATATTTTCTTTCAATCGAGTTTATCGGAAATTATAGAGTTTTAAAAAGTATAATTTATAAAATTGTTGTACAAAAAATAATTTTAATAATTTACTTTCTGATTATATTATTATTTTACGATTGACCTTTTATAAAATTTATAATTAAAAAAATAATTTAGAAAGACATAGAAATCATGTTCAATAAATCTGTACTTGCAGCTGACCACACCAAAGATAGGTCTACTTATAAACAACGTGCTTATGATTTTTAAATTAAATGTTACTTTTTATAAGATTTCCGGCCTCCACACGTGTTCTTGCTATCCACGAGATTGCCGAAAAGGAGCATCTCCCCCTTGAAGCCGCCTTGGAAAGGGCCGTCCAGCTTGGCATTCTCGCCGGTTAATTTTTTAGTTATTTAATATCAGTTTTATAAATTATGTAAATTTCTAATTTTTTTTTTCTAGGCAATCACGAGCGAATTGTTCCGCCAAAGATTGACGATTCGGTTCGTTTGCAAAGTCATGTTGGGATATACACTTTAGAAGAAAATCATACTTTTGAAAACAAAGAGCAGGTGTTAGCAAGGCAACGTCTTCAAAATAAAAATATATAATCAAAAATTCTGGTTTCCTAATTGTTGTAGTTCTTTCTTTCTGTAGCTAAAATATTTCAAGTAAAGCGATTACCCGCATGACATTATATAAAGAAATTAATTTGTAATAATTTTAATTTCATAAGCAGATTTTTATAAATACAAAAAAATAATTTTTTTTAGAATGGCCGGGTTGTATATATAGTACTATCACATACTCATACAACAACCGAACACAACCGAATGGCAAGAGGCCATCCGAATGTGGCAAGTTATTGTTATATTAACGTAACTCTACAGTTTTTACTTCTTTTACTTTTTAGATGAATGATTTTTTTCTTAATAATTTTATTATTAAATTTCTTAAAAAAAACAATGTTCCGGTCGTTCTACCTAAAATTAACCTTGAACTCGATACTCGTGATTAGACACTTTTTAAAATAAGATCCTCTCACAGCACGAGCAGTAGCAAATAGTAGTTGATAATAAGGACATCCTACACGGTGGAACTTGATTTTGACTAGGTTCAACTGATTTAAGGTGGATCCATATATCCTAAGTTACTGAATTTTTTCCCGATCGTTTGGTAGTTTTCCCTCGTTAATGCTTGTGCGTGCTAAGGACCTCAGACAATAGAGCCGATCTGTATTAAATGTAAAGTTGTTTTATCTAAAGGGCAAAGACGGGTGAGTAGGAACTTAGTCCCAAAGACTCTAGCTAAAAAAGGCCTATAGTCTAAAGGGCGATGAATGCAAAATGTTGCCTTAGTTTATAGAAATAGAGGCATAGAAAAAGAACCAAGAGCTCAGTCACGTAAGTGAGAGATAAAGAAGTTTTTTAACTTTATCGTAAAGAGATAGAAAAGAAACTACACTGAAACGACCAAAAAAAATTTTGAGTCTTTTCACTATTTTTCAACTGTAGGATGAACTTTTTTCATCTAACTAGGTAAAGCGGCCGTAGTTTTCTTGCGGGTACTAGCTTTTTGAAGTATTCTTGCTAAACAGGGAGAGATTTCTTCTTTTGCATTAATTTCTATTCTCCTTTAAAATTTTATTGGTGTTAAATAGGGTTTTTATCACATATATACATTAAACCCATTTCCGCTTCATTGCCTTTCTTCATTTATATACAACAGGAAATTGTACAATCAAGTGGTAAAAGCCCAAAATTTAAAGGCTAAAATGGAATAATTCAGGATATAGCCAAACATAACTCTGGAGGTAAAAAATGAACATCTTAATTGAAAAACATTCAAAATCGAAGACTAAATGGTAACTAGGAATGTAGTGTTTGACTTAAAACTTATATATAATACTTAAAACAATCCATGTGATACTAACAAATATATATGGAATTCTTAAAGGTTTTGACCCAGCAAAGTGCTATTTGAATGATAAAGTATTTATTATTATAGAAAAAAAATCGGCCGATACTTGTCTGATGATTAGTTAGAAGCCGTGAAATATAAACATTAGGTATATAATTCCGAACTCTTATTACTGCTATATTTATTCAAGATTTTGAAGAACTTCGGTAACTTAACCCCGTAAAGGTTACTGGATACTATTTTTACCACTTAACGCCCAGGTTCAATTCGCATGGGTAGGTCTATGAAACTAAACTACAAGATCGGTCTCTAGAACAATCTCTGGTAAGTTTGAGTACCATGTTCTAACGGATTAGGCAGCAACCAACAAAACATAAGAAAGTGGTAAATTTCGTTACCAGTGTACTTAAAACAAACCTATTTTAAGCCCGAGTTTTGCCCATTAAAGGGTTAATCGTAATACTCTTGCTAAACATGAATATATTTATGAAATACACTTGAAGCGTTATAACAGAGTAATATCTAATTAAATACCAATAATTTAGAAACCGATAGTTGATTTGATTGCTTTTTCAGTTTTACTTTATTAATAGATTAACCAACTACGCTACTAGATGGCAGGATACTGAGAATATATGTGCTTTTAAGCAGCTCCAAACCCAATTCATTATATTTAGGCTGTTTAAGACTTGAAAAATAATTTGCAATAGTAATAACTGAGCCTTACTATAGCCGACCTCCATACACCAGGCGAACGGCGACGCCTACGTGATCCACCCTATCTTCTTTTCAGAGGATCTGCCAGGTGGTATTCAGGCGTGCCTAACCTCGGCGTCAGTGGGACCAGACTATGCACGTGATGTTTCCTCACTTAAATAAATATAGTGCAATTTGTCTTTTCTTCAAAGCCTTACGTTGCTTAAATCCTCCCCCCTGAAATAATACATAATTGCTTTAACTAACTAATTATTAGAAGCGAGTTCCTTTAAAAAATTAGAGAAAGTTTTATATTGGTTTCTTTAAAAACTATTATATAACTTAGAAAAAAAACCGTACAAAATTGTAATAACTCTGACTATAAATATTTATTGGCGGCTGAGTTTGTAAACAAAAAAAATTTATAATAAAAGGACTCCAACAAGCTAATTATTGAATGTTTATGAAGAAAAGAGGAAAGAAAACTGTTATAAAAGACCTTTCTTCAATAATAAACGTGTCATTATGCGTGACTGAGAACTTAGAGGCAATTATATAGCAATTATCTTTCGTAAGTAAGGGACAAAAGCGAGGATTCCTAAAGTTTCGAGGAAACGTTTGAAAGTTTTCTCTGATTAAAATTAATCCGTAATTCCGTTATAGATTGTCTTTAAAAATTTTAAAAATGATATTTATTGCTTACGACCGCCAAATTTATGAAATTGGTTTAAAAAAAATACGAAAACGTTTTGAAATTAACCTCAAAAGTGTTTTCCTACACTTTTGAAGTTTTATTCTTAATTCCTTTTGCCCTTTTATCTGACAGTATTGATGTTACTTCCGTTTCGTTGGACTTCCTTTTTAAACTAAAGCAAAATCAAACGGCAGAAAAAAATATTGAATTTAATATAAGATGAAAGAAACCTTTCAAGTTCTTGACTTAAATGAAGATTATCAAGTTTAAGTTTAGCAATTACAGTCCTTAATTCTAAGTTTCTTTAACGTTCTTTTAAAAATACTTGTAAAGTAGCATCATAGGGAAAATATTTTGAAAGGTATCCCCTATAAAATTATAATTAATAAATTAAAAAATATATATAGAGGAAAATTTTATTTTATATCATAACCGAACAAAGCTATTAAAATCTTTTTTTAAATCTTTATTAGAAGAAATATCATCCACTTGTCTTATAAGGTCCCTTAACACTGCAACAAAATTTTATAAATTAAAAAACGATACAAGAGCAAGAAAACCATTAGAATGAAGTAATCTTCTCTCGGTAAAATTTTGAAACATAAAACTGTTTAAGGGTAAAAGATAACCGGCTTCCGATTTTTTGGTAATGGACGCCACTTTGCAGTTTTATGAGATTTAATGCCAGAAATAGTATCCTTGTCGGTCACAAGCACTTACAGTTAAGCTAGTCCAGTATGGATGTTGGAGATATTGTATCTACCTCAACAGTGAAAAGGCGGTGGGTGTAAAAATAATATATTAAGCAACAGCCGTCCTTGGTTACCGCGTAACACTGGGATCAATGCATCACTAATATTTGGATGGGGGGGAGGTGATTAAGGCTGGAAAGATGTTAAAACTTTTTATTTTGTAGTTCTAAAAGTGTCCCCCACCTCTCGTGATAAAAGTGACTAATCGCCCTATCAGTTTATATTCCTCTCTTGCAAAAGTATTGTAATTTTAAAAATCTAAATGATGTTATTAAACGCAACCTACCTTAAGCTGAACCCTTCTACGCTTCGTTAAACACGTTAACAGAGAATTTACCAGCAAAAAAACCTTAGGAAATTTCTTGCTTGATGTCGGAAAGGCATTTGATAATGTTTCGTCTGTGGCTTTTATTTACATTATGCTTTTTCGAATTGCTCGTGTCTATAACTAATTTAATTAAATAATATTGAAAAAACAAAAAACTTTATATAAATGCGGTGCCCGCCTCATACGGCATTTTCCTTTCACTTCAAAACGTTCCTCAATGCTGATTACTTCTTTGCTTTTTTAAATTTAAAATGCAGACTCTATTATAAATTGACACTAGCAATGTTTGCAAACAATATTTCGACTATTTTCCTCTTTTAAATATGAATTATTATGCTCACGTTTTAGTTCTTCTCCCAAGGAAGTAACAAATGGTACTAGAAATGAAAGTTAAAATTCATGTCCTTAAGACAAAAGGTATATTGATATCTAGAAGGAAGAAAGCGCCCTGCCCCTTACCAACGGGGGCGACATCCAATGATTTCGAAAGCACGCCTATGGGATGAATTGAGTTGAAACACACGCATAACTTATGTTATAAACTAAGCTAAAAAGGCTGCAGCTTCTCTCTACACATATCTAAATCGGAAATGTAATGTTTGGTAAGTTCTCGATGTGAATTATCCGCTTAATTTAACATTAGCCTCTCCCGCCTGGGAGTATCGCTCTTCCCAGCTTATTAAAAAACACTTGCGGAATCTAAATAAGCTATTAAAAATGTCTGTAAATGAGAGCATAAAATCCGAGCCCTGCAAGAATTTATAGGGTATCTAGCGAAAAATATATGCGAAAAGACGGCATTGCATGTAAACCTTCTAGTTGATTGTTCAATTTCATAGGAGCTATCTGGCCTTACTAAATATTGAAATCTAAATCCGTCCTAATATAGTATATCGGAACTTCAATGTGATAATTTTTCAATTCCATGGACTGTATACATTAGGTTAGGAAATAAAGACACTTTAGTTTTATCTGCGTTCTGATATTTAGACAAATTAATAAATAAGTATAATTCAGCAGTATTATCCACAGGAATAAATCTGATTTTCCTGCCTTTTAATATTGAACGGAGAGTGTTATAGTGAGAAAGGGCAACATAGTTGCCGTGTGTCTTATACATGATATAATTCATTTATTATCACCTTGAGTATATGTACATATTTTTACGCTTTTTAAAACCACTACCTGGGATGGTTTCATTTTAGGTATAACGTTTATCTGGAATTTTGAAGACTAAAAAAAAAAAGTTAATTTTAGAGGGAGAAAATAAATGCTCCTCCATTAAAAGCAATTATAATTTCCTTGGTAAAAACAGTATCTCAAAATGAAGTGGGAAGTTACAACTAAGGAAAGCTAATGATAGTTTGAGTAGGTAAAAGTGAACGGTTGTGAGTAAGGCGCAAGTAAGAACTTCTAATATAAGTTTGTAAACATATATATTCAGCATAAAAAGGAGTGAAAGAAATCTTCAAAATGCAAGTTCTAAAATTTTGCTTGTCTAGATTAAATTTTAACACTTTCTATAAGGTTTTATCTGACCAGGAGCAAGTTGTTATTGGTAGAGCTTTAAACTGTTTTTGGTGGCAAAGTATAGGATAGCATTGGGATCGTAAAAGATAAAGTGCCCCTTAACAGTAAAAAAAAATCAAAGTTTACACATTAACCATAAATTGGCAGACGACATTAATAAACTCTAGAAGAAAACCTAAAGTAAATTTGGCACGAGATAACAGATAACTCAGAAAATCAGGTTCCTCTTATCTATATTGTAGTGGGGAAACCGGAGAGAGAACGGTCATGTGATCCTTTGTAAAGTATGAGATACCTCAGTCTTTGGTTTCTACCCATTGAAAAACCCCGTCTTTTGAAAGAACATCGTTAAAAAATTATTTTAAGCGTTTTAGCTTTAAAAGTAAATGTCCTTATTTTCCCGATAGAGGTAAAAAACTTATTTCAAAACATTGAGAATATAATTTGCAAAATAAGAAAAGTACAGATTTTTTGGGGGTATCCCATACCTCAAAACAATAATGGTACCATTATATTAAAAATAGAGAAAAAATAATATATTTAGATATAATTTAAAAAAAAAAAAGACAAAATAATAAAATAAAATAAAATAAATATAGGCGGAAGAAAGAGCTAGCTAAGTTAGATAAAAACCAACGTTTCAACGTTTACTTTTTTTTTAAATATATTATTTAATCTAAAATATCTTGACAGGTTTATAAATCATTATTGATTGAATATTAATATATTTAAAATATTGTAAACTAATATTTTTAGCCCACTAACGGAGGGTTAAATAAGCAATGTGCCGTGGAGTTTTATGACATTAAGGGCTAGAAGAAAAACTTTTTAAATATGCTTGGTAACGCAAAGGGTGTTTTATTAGCCCTACAGTAGTCACAGGGGGTCCCACAGATCTGTAAATTATTTTGTTTTCTGCATTTTCAGATAAAAGTTAAAGTTTAGTGGGAACCTGTGCCCTAATATCTCAATAAACAACGTGTTCAAAATTTACGGTATTTTTTATTTAATACAAAAGTAAACAATTTAAAACTCAAGGGGTCTGAGAGGTCTATTGCGACTACTAACGTCTAAATAAGAGGCGAGGCTACTATAGGGTTAACGAGTTTTGTTGAGAAATTTCTCGAAAACATTTTGCTTTCAAATGCCCAGACAAAGGAAGGGTCCAATTTACCGTATCACCAGTTGAATACTTAATGCACCTTTTAGTATTAAAAGGATGAAAAACCTATGTATTTATAAAAATTGTTTAACCAGCAGTAAAGGTAAAGTAGATCACTTTTAAAGTCAGTTAACTCTGGTAAAAGGGTTTAAGGTATGGTATTAGAATTAGGTTAGAAAGATGCAACGTTGCAAAAAGTGATGTAAAAGATTAGTAGGAAGGTGATAAATAAGGGGGTAAGAGTGAGTTGTGAATGAAAACGCGTAGAAGTGTTTGTTTGAAAACAAAAATGTAATAAAATATTATTAAGTTTTTCTATAAGCTTCAAATTACTCTATTGGAGCGAAGTGGGTCGTTAAGAAAAGGGGAGGCTTTAAAAAGGGAGAAAGACAATCTGTAGGAGAATTGTTGTTGAGCTGATAAAACCCTACTAGTACCTTAAGATTGTAACCCGACGCAAGCGTTGTTGTAATAAGAGCTTCTTTATACTAGTAATATGGGAGGTAGGTCTTTATCTCGCCTTTGTAAGTAAAAACCAAACTTTGCTTAAAGATATTACGGCATAACAGATAGAAAAGCTAATTGTTTCCTGGTTCATCAACCTACAAACTTGCGGGCTACATAAAACCTAGTTATTACAAACTCATAGTATAGACAGAACATAAAGATCAGAGGAATAGTAAAAAAAGGGGTTTAACAGCGAAAACGTGTGTATAGAATGCGCCAAGTCACGAACAGTCATATATGTAAGTTAAAGTACCGGGTGAAAACCATGCGATTGCAGAGAAACCAAAGCGAGCCTCTCGTTACACTTAAAAATTAAATCTTAGTTTTATACTCCGAATCAGTTGACTAAAGATGATGTTATAAAAATAGCAGAAATATTATGCGGTTTGCAAGAAGTGACATTATTGAAAAGTAACACAAGAGTGCGATATATACATATATATATATATGAGATTTGCATACAAGCGAAGCAAAACCCAGAGAAAAGTTGAACCTATGAAATCTTACGGGAGGGCCACTATAACAAATAGCAGTGGAGGGGAGGGGTATACACAAAACAAAAGGCAATTACGTTCGGGTCCTTGTGGTGATGGGTCGTTACTCAAGGTTTTTTTGGAATAAAGATTCCGGAAAGTTAAGCATTAAAATGGTAAAACGTATAAAAAGAAATTTTCTGCTGGAAAAAAACCTCAAACACTTAGTGGATCGAGAAACGGTCTTCACTTTTGGGGGACCCATAACATATAGAGGAAAGGAATACTTGTGCGCATATTATAACCACCAATTGCTATCAAGCGTACGAAATGGCTAAAAGAGTATTTAGACCTTGGAAAGGGGGGTGTTTAAAGCAAGCTTACAAGATAGGTTGGAAAAGGACTTGTTATTAGAGTTTTTACTGATTGTGATAGACTTCCAGATGTTTAAATGTAAGCCCCTTTTAGATGACGTGCGTTTAAAAAGAGTCGAGAATTTTTTAAGATTTGAACAAAAGATCTACGAATTTCTTAGTTTAAAATCTATTCGAGATCACCTCACATCGTGGAGTCACCTCCTTTAAGCAGGAAGAAAAGGAATGCGAATTGTCTTCATAGTAAAGACAAAGACTATTTTTCCCCTAACAATTTCTCCTTAAATCGTAAAATCCCGGACCTAGTAAACTAAAGATCCACTTTTAATTCAAACAAATTGACTTGAAAGACAAGAAAGGGTGAAAATTTGGTTCTTTTCTTTCTTTACGGCCAAAAATACTATTAATCGAGTTAAATGACTAAATTTTAAAGGCTAAAAAAGTCTGAATAATTTAGTAGAATTTGCGAGGAAAATTTTGACGTTGTGCTTTAAGCAGTTATAAGTGTCAGCTTAAAGCTACATTACTAGATCAAGCATTTAACCAAGAAAAGTTGAACTCGATTATATCGTGTTTAGAGGATATCTTTTACCAATAGATCGCTAACGTATAAAGAGTTTCTTTGGTCTTATTCTGACTTCCAAATGATGTGCTCAAAAAGTTTATAAAATTTGACCCGCTCAAGTTAACAATTTTCCGCGCATTGCTGCTGACACTTTAAAGGCTGCCCTTTAGCATTGGAAGCTAACAAAATCTTGCCTCCATCATTTTGTTCGTCCCTCGCCTAAAAAGGAGTCCCAAGCTGGGTCAAAAAGGTGTCGATCTCTATCTCCCTTAGAAGGTGCAGGGTCTTTAACTTACACCATTTTACCACTTTAACCGTTAGATTTTTCTCCATCTTCAAAAGTCGCTAGCGAAGATGGAACTCGTTATTCTGTAAATTTGCGGTAGCCTTTTAACTCATACCGTTCGAAGCCTCTCCAGAGTTTACTAGATAGAGAGCTCTTAATCTTAGATTCAAATATTTTTTCGAGACTTTTCTCTAGAACCGGAATTAAAGTCTCTATAAAATGGTTTTTTTTAATTAAGTATTAAACTTTAATATATATTTAAATAAAACAAGCCCCTGAAATATAATACGGAACGTTTAGAAGGTTTTTTGCTATAATGCTTTAACCCGAAGGGTAATAAGCTCTTTTAAGATGTCCAGGAAATACACCGACTACAAAGAGATATAATAAAATATATTTTAAGTGTTGTTTATTAACTAAAACTAAACAAAAACACTAAATAATATTAGATAAAAAGTTAAAACAAGCCAACGTAAATAAGTAGAAAAATCCGCTTTCACTGGTAAGATTTACATGCCCGTTAGGAGTAGAACGGTACAGTTATATACGAGTTATATAGAGTGATTAAGAACTAATGAGGACAAAGGCAGACTGACGACGTGTAAATTCTTAAAATTAGCTAAAGATATTTGCAAACTCAAAGAGATGGAAAAAAAGACTAACAACTACTTTAAAAGTAAAAGCTTACAACTATATTAATTAATTTATAAAGTTGACATACTAAAGCATGAGGAGCTAAAATCTGCTTAATCTGAATTCTAATTAAAAAAGAAGTCCTACACGTTCTGGAATCTTTAAAGCGGTAAGGAGTCGTGATCTCCTACAACGAGCTTAAGCCCTGGCGTCATAGGTTATGTATTGAATAAACAAATAGTTGGGACGAGTTAAGCAGCCCTTCACATTGTGACTTTATTCAATGAACGTTTTAACTTCAGTTCACGGTGCAAGGGAGCACTCCGAACAAACCATGGAGTATTTGTAATGTTCGGAACAGCCGATTAAATGGCTTAAAGCTGCTTTATGTTCAGTTGATTACCATACGGCCACACTATGACTGAATAAGCCGAAGTCAGCTGAATTATTTAAAAATAAAGTTCAAGTTTGTTGTTCACTGAAAAAGGATTCTTTTTACATAAAGTTTTGTAAATGCTAAAACTCGCTTTATTGTGATAACGCCAAGAAATTGCTTGTCGATCTGACCACTAAAGTATTGGAACCCTTGTGCCATGACATATGATTTGTCTTACATCTCCTCTTCGATACAATTATAGCTTTGCTCTCTAATGGGTTAACTGTAGATCGCAACTGGTCAAACCATATCTCAAGTGCAGAAGCATACGTTTCAAGGGTTTTAGAAGTAGAGAAAAATATTTGAAGAAGGCGTAATCTACGTTGTATCATCCGCAAACTGACAAAAAAGTGTAGATATTCGCAGGTCTGGGTGTACGAGATGTAAAAAGTAAATGAGATGAGATATAGCAGCGAGTCCTCTGGAATTGTTATAACCAGTTTTTCTATAATATAGCTAGCTTTTTTTACTCCGACATAAAGTGCCCTGTGGTTCAAAAAAGAGTGAAGAAACGAAAGCGTTTATCTGGCATCTTTAGGATTGATAGTTTCATTAAAGTTTAGTGTCCCTAACCCTGTAGAATGTTTTTTTAATATCTAAAAAAGAATGCCCATGTCGATTTATTATAATGTAATCCTTTCGCAAAGTGTCCGGAAAAACGCAAAAGCTGCTACGGGTAGAGTGACCCTTCGGAATCCTAACTGAAACTCTAATAGAGTACTTTCCACGTACTTTTATAATCAAGTATTATTGTTTCGGCTTTTTACCAATACATAATAAAGGTAGGTAGGTAGTCTTTAGAATTTGGGTACACGACTGTCGCCGTTTCCCATCGTACAAGAAATGTAAAGTATCGAAACTAAAACCGTAAAGTTCTCGTTGCATTGCAATATTCATTATAAGCGCTTAGCATAGGTTGTTTTGCCTTGGGAGCGAGGGCGCAAAGTAAAACTTTTTTACTTTACGAGTTGTGGTCTTCCAAAGCTGCGTGCGTTTTCGTTGCTTCTCAAAATATCTAAATCTGGTGGTGCAATTTTAAGTTTTAGTAGGTTCTTTAGGGCGGTAGTAGTCATTGCTCGAGTGATTGCTTGCCTTCCCAGGAAGAGGGAGGGACAGCAGTTTTTTTTCGTCGCCTTCCATTAGGACTTCTGAGGTGCGTTTTTATAGGTTAATAATGGAACCTGCGCTGAGCTTGTGTCCTTTAATCAGAGGATTATCTACTATAGAAACATCACATTATCTTTTCTAGTTCCCTAATTTGATCTTATATGAGCCAATTATGCTTATATGTCACGATTGGTAGCGTTTATACCACCAGCTTATTTCTTAAATCGAAGTCACCAGTAACCTTATATTCAGTTAAGCCCCAATAGGATCCTGACCTTATTAGTAAAGCGATGCTTCCACCTTTTAGAAGCAAGGCTTAAATAATTTATTTTAAAAGAGAGGCCTCTTAGCGCCAGTGCAAAATTAATCAGGCTTAATTATTTTAACAGCTAGGGATATCAGCGCCACGATCATTTGAGAAAGTGTTATACATGCACTACTAATCAAGGCACAGTCAATTGAGTATGCACTTATACGCAATAAGAGCTACTATTTTGTCATTTTTTGCTCGTTCTTATAGCTTGATATATGAAAACTAACAAAGTTTACATAAAACCATTTTTTTTAATTTGCCATAATTTAAAGTATAAGAGGACTTTACAGTCCTCTTTTTGTTAACTTTTACAGCGTGACACCCGCTTTAAAGTTAATAAACAAGTTATGATACTAGTATACACGACGCTGGCCTTGTATGCCAGCCGTGGCAAAATACACTCGGGTCTTGTTATTTCCAAGCGCATTAGCTAACAAGAGCCTTTTAACTTTGTTAATATTGATTTAGTATTCCTTAAAAAATAATTCTAAAATTTCGGAAGCGTTTAAAAAAGTGACACTCAAGACGAGTCATTAACTATATTTTATAAAATTATTCGGACACTTGATGGTAGCTAAATCATTAAAACTTTAAAAATTGAGGCGTGTTTGTTTTACTAACTTATTAGAATCTGAAACTAGGTATGCCGATGATCGCTTGACCTGCAGAAATGGGCTTCTTAAAATAGTATTTTTTTGTCATAACTGACTTAAGTCTCTACTTTATAAAGCGGAGATATCTTTCTGACTATTACAAACGGCTATAATTTTTTAATGTAATTTTTCATTTAAGAACTTATTTTTAAATGTATTTTTTTCACTTTTCTTGCAGTCCGTTAAAGTATTATTCTTTTTTCCAAGTGAAGCCCATATTAATGTTTCTACACTGTCATCTACTGCAGTTTTCATAGTCTCTCCTACAGATAAACAGAAAAAGTAAATTTTTATAGAGAAAATTCAAGGAAGTTAAATGAATAACACATATATACTTGAGACCAATAGATGTACAGACACAAAATGTTTCAACAAACCTCACTTGATTATTTTTAATGGAAGACTTTGTTTTATTTAATCTTGAGTCGATGATAGTTTATCAAAAAAGTAAAACAAAAAATAAATACACCAATGAAACCCATATAAAGGTTTTTGAAGGATTTTATTGCCGAATATAATAAATTAAAACTAAGTCCATGGATGATAATAAACTTTAAAAAAAAAAATAAGAATTTAATATGGCTTTATCATAAAAACTAAATTATACCGCATTTACTGGATAAAAAGTAAATGAAAGAGAGCCTTTCTAAGAAAAGTAAAAAGTTTATAGGCAAGCAGTACCGAATTCTACCTCCAACGTAAAAAAATACGAAGGAATTTAATGAACAACGATTTTAAATATCGACAAATATTCAGCGGAAAAAAATACTCGAAGCGTTTATCGGTCAGCTCTTCAGCGCTAAAAAAAATAATGCAATAGTGAAATGGCACGTGATGATACTTAATTACACCGTAAATATCGATTTTTTGTTCTTGTGTAAAACTTTTCAGCTTACTAAACATTATTCAACAACCCTATATCATGCAGAACCATTTAGTATATCTAATCAACTCGCGTATCCTGAATCGAACAAGAAGAGAACAAAAGCGTAAACATCCAAAACCATGTTGGCTGACGAACAACCCACGGACGACTCGAAACCTCTTCAATGGTGAGGCGAGAGTGGGGCGTCTTGTTTAACAGACCCTTTAAAAGCTCCTTTAGGAGGGAATTTGCCTTCCGAAACTTCGGGAAGGTAAGTGGCCGGCTCATAATACAGTGATGCAGTCTCCCCTGAGAGTAGTTTTGGTAAAAAATACTCTTTTCAACGTGAAAAGGACTACAAACAATATATAAGCACCAGAGAGCTTGATTCGTGGGCTTGAGTGTGGAGAATATCGAAGGGGAACCGGCCATAGACGAACAAATAGAGGCAAATTCCTGTGAGAGAGAGAAAAATATGACTAAAGTTCGCCATTTATTGCAGTTTGCCAGTCGTAAGCCAAACCTGCAGCCCAAATATCCACAGCAAAAGTTACTGGAGTATTGTTATCAGCAATGCACAACTCCGGAGAATAAAAGGCCGGTGTGCCAGCCGACGTCTTGATCTAAACGAAAAAAATTAAAATAAAAGTAGTATTCAAAGCCTGGTGAAACTGTCACTCATAACGGAAGTCGTAAACCCACCACGCCCCCCCACCCATACTATTGTAAAGATTAACGTCGCTCTCCCGCGCGTTAACGGCGGACCAAGCCAATGTCGCCTTTTCCTACTGGCTGGGAGCCCCGTAATAGTACCCACAATTTCTTCGGGTAAAAATTATTATATATAATTATTAAAGTTAATGAATTGGTTATTGACATCACAATAAACCCAGCTGTTATGGGAAGCGAAAAACTTGGAAGTTCCAATGGTGCTGGACTTTCTTAAATTAATGAAGTAATCCTTAATTTATACAAGCACACACGCGCCTTCTATAAATCCCAATCACAGAAAAGAATGAAATTTGTAACCATAAAGGTTAGTATCAGGAGAGCGCGTATTTAGTGGATGGCAAAGAGCAGAGGTTTCTCTGCGAATGCTGCAAAAGAAACGGTTAGGCGTACATCTAATATTTAATGGAGACTGGCTTGCGAAATTATAATACCCGAGGTAAGTAACAGTTAAACACAAAAGTTAAGCACGTAAACTAAAGAAAAGGAGAAAAGTAAAATATATATAAAAAAAGTTGTTACATAAAGTCGCAATGATATAAACAACGATTAACAGAAATGCAAACGAGCCTTTTTCCCAGCAAGTTGTGCGGAGTTGAAATCTGCGATTTTCAGGATATTATTGTCAGAAAGTAAAAGGTTTTCGGGCTTAATATCTCTGTGGATGATTTCTTTTTCAGAAGGAAGTTAAGGATAATCAAAGTATGGAAAAGTTAAAATAATTTAGAAAGCACAATTACACCCGCAGCTTATTATAACAAGAAAAAATATTACTAGAAATATACAATGTACTGACATTTTTTTAAGAAAATGTTCACTACTCAAAATTTTTTTTAGAAGAAAAAACTACTTTTTTTTAATGGGGAGGTAAAAATTAATAAACCCGAAACAGTGTAGAGCAGCACATGTTTCAGAAGCTATCAATCTTAGTGTTTGCTTTTTTTCATGACCAACCTTTACTAATCTCTACGTCACGATTTCAGGCTCCGTTATATAATGTAGCATACTTTAAAAAAGTTTCAATTTTATTAATTTTTTGTTTATAAGCGACTCCGCTCCTTATTATAATAAGCTCTATTAATGGGCGAAATTTATTTCGTTGCTTGAATTTAGAGAATAATAAAGAAGTTTTAAACTACTAGTAATTTTTTAGAAGCTTTTTAGAGTTAACGTAAATAAAAAAAATAGAATTTCACCTTTACAATAAAAACTATAATATAAAATTAATTAAACTTAAATTGAACTGTTTATGAATTGAGATTCAATCTTTACCAAGCCCATGCAAATATTTTAATCCTGAAACAAGATGACCAAAATATTTGTGAGCCTCCTTAATACTTAAAACAGGCTCCCCTTTTTCATCCTAAAAAAAGTTAATTAAATAAGAATAATTTTGTGAAAAATAGACATTTAAACACGATGATAATATATTATTAACATTTAATCAGTTTATGATAATACAAATAATGTTATTTTAAAATTTTAGATGAGCCTACATTTATAGTTGTTCGGTGAATAACTTAGATTTATGGACTTAATATATTACTATAAATACAACATTTAATAAAGCAACTACACCAAGTTAAGTATAAACCAAAAAAAAATTAAAAAGAAGACAAAATAGCACACCTCAAGTAGTTGGTAGTAACCGGTCAAGGTAATTTTATAGTAAAGAAAATATTTGTTATATTACAGGAGGTATTCAGTTAAAACAAGAATTTTAGGTAAAAAAAAGAAAATAACTCAAGATAAACTATAAATACTTTATAATTAACGCAGCCGCGGCTCAAATAGTCCATAAACATATATGCTTTAGATTCTTGTGGCAGATCCACCACTTCCCACACTCGTACAACGTTAGGATGTTGTAGTTTTTTCATTATATCAATCTATTAAATAAAAATATACCCTTTAATTATTACTTTTCTAAGAAAGGCAATAGAGACTAGTAAGTCGAAAACTTAAGGCACACGAAATAAACTAGTAAAACTACCTCCATTTTTATAGATTCTAAGTAAGCCTTTCCAAAACTACCGAAATGTCTTTTCCTCGGTTTTCTACATATTTTGACTGCGTAAGCGTTTCCTCTCTCGTCAATACATAGTTTTACTTTACCAAATTGGCCCCTTATAGTTTAGAATTAAAGTGGATCAATATTTTATTTAAGGCGAATAAACAAGGACACACCTTCCAATCTCTCCAACAACTTTATACTGGTTATAGTATTTGTGTGTATCGGTTCTAATTCTTATTAGCATCTTAGTCAACTTGGCAACAGTCGGAAGCATATCAATTTTTCTAACTCCTTCAGAATCGCTTTTATTATCATACATTTAGACACCTATATATATAAGAAGTTACTTTTAGCATGGACATACAGATATGTATCGTAAAGAAGTAATTACATGATCCTTACGGACCTACTGAGAGAAAACATTTATGTCTGCAGAACAAGAAAAAACTACAAAACATCACTGATAGTCAGTAACCTTTATATATAGTAAATCTTTATGCTTATTGGTAGAGTAATTTACTGTCTACTGATAACGTTTCGTTGGCTGGAAAAATAAGCTCAAAAATTCAGGTAAAGCTACCTTTAGTAGTTATTTACATCAAATTTTGTACAAAAAGTGTTGATTTAATACGAATTATGCACCTTAAAATGAGTAAAAATCTCTCAAGGATAAAGCTTCAAGGTTGAACGTTGAAAACGCATAGCTTTAGTTTCTGGTGTTAGAGGTATATAGGCAAATCAAGCACAAATCCCTAATATCCTTTAAAATTTAATTTATGTAAGATAAATAACTTTATTGTACTTAAAGTTTTTTTAAAATTCCTGAATTTAGAGTGCAAATTGCAATTTAGAATTACAAGTTTGCAAAAGAGGAGAATTCCTCTACATTTTAGTGACCAACAGCAACTCTAGTTTATAATTAAAATAAGATATACTAAATTATTGGCCGAAAAGACTTATGGATACGCTGTAGAGTTAACCAATTTTGTTTACAGGCTTTAGGAAAATATGTTTACTGAACAAATAACACAAATAAGAATTTTTCTATAGTAAGGTGACCAACGGCCAAGTACATAGTTATACTTAGATTAGATGATAACCAAAGTTTTAGCGTGACTAATTAAATAATAATCTTAAGCTAAAGCCAAAAGTTTTTTTAGATGAACAGAAAAAGCGCATTACGTTGTCTAGTATTCATATCTAAAATAAAAGCAAGACTTTTGTGAATGTATAGGAGGCAGACATTATTACGAGAGATTGAGAAGACCTACAGTAGTCCAGTATATGAGATTCTATGGACGCATTCAGTGCTCTAAATTTTTATATAAGACAAGTTTATTTGTATGGTCTAAACTTTATGAATGTATAGGATGCAGGCATTATTACGAGTAATTGGCAAGGTCTACAGTAGTTCAGTGTATGATTCTAGGGACGCATTCACTGCTCTAAACTTTTTATAAGACAAGTTTATATGTATGGTCTAAAGCTTTCAGTTTTTTATTAAACCTTACTTGTATAATTACTATCTTTTATACTACTGAATACTAAAACAATTTTTTCTTCTAAACTTCCACTAGACTTTCATTTTTTCAATCAAAATTACAAGCCCCTTTGAAAGTTCATCGACCCTGCATTCGAAACGGTTTAAAACACAGAATTACTGGTTTAACACTCGGTATTGATAACCAAACAGATATACAATTTTTTAATCAATTTTTAATCTAAAAAGTGGCCTTTGCCGAGCCAAAATTTTACATTTCATTTATAATCTATAAATAGAAAGATGTCCACTTGTGGTTTTAAATGTCGGTTAAAGCCTTATTAACTCAATTACCATATTTGGTTAACAATTTTGTCTGAAATTTTTTTTTTAAACTAATTTATTTACTTAGGATAGGAGTTTTCCTCGTAGATACATAAATTTGTAGATAAAACATTCAGCTCATCCTTCTCTTTAATATGTATTCGTAAAAATAGTTTAGTAAATATTCTATATCTTTTTACAGCAACGCATTTGAACTTTGTATTTTTGGTGCGATGTCTGTTTGTAACTTTTTACTAGTGTAAAGTTCCTTTTATTACAGTGCGCTTAAAGTACTCCCTACTAAGTTGAAGAGTTTTTAAACAACTTGTAAATACTGTTATAAGTCTGACTGGGGTTTATCTATCCAATAAGTTTATTTGTTCCGCATTCCATCATATTAAAAACTACCTAAGGATATAATTAAATTAATGGTTTTAAGAAAAGATAACTTGTTTACGCTCCAAAAAATCTTCGTTTAAGTAATTTAAATAACAATCTTCTTATCAATTAACTAAGTAATTATTACCCTTATAAAACATTGTAAGCACCCTGACATTAAATTAAAATGCCTTCCAGGCCTGAGATTTTACGTTATAGACCGCTATGCTTCCAATGAAAGCAAGTGAAGCAAGCTTTCCTAGTAACTGACGTCAGGTTTTAGTAAAAGAGCAATAATATTATAAAATCTCAGAAGCCAAGTTTACTTATACTTAATAATTTTTGTCTATTATCAAAAAAAAGTTAGGACTTGACTTCTTCCTCCTTTTTTTATTAATTATTTTGATTTTATAGAAATATATGATGTAAGGTTGTTGAAATCTCTGTAACTAAATTCCGGTCTCTAAATCTTATTCTAAACTAAAGTTTATTCATAATTTTTTTCTTTAAAACATAAAAGTTTCATTAAAAAAAAAAATTAAAATTTTTATGTTTTAACCTCCTATGATGCAAAGAAAAAATAATGTCGTTTATATGAGAGTAGCGTTAAAGGGTAATTCACATGTGATAAAGTTTGGCTCGCAAACCTGCTGTAGTTTTTCTTCTTCGTTTGTTGTACAGTGGGTTTGATGCGCTTGGAGAGCCGATGGCAATGTAATTAATTCACAGAACTTTCAAGTACTTTGACTTACCTATATTGTATAACTATAATGTTTTCAATATACCTTATGTTATTTATTATTACTTTAATGTCTAAACATTCATCTCAAAGACTCACAGCCTGCAACTCAATTGAAAAAAAAAACAGCTTTACGCGTTATTGCTTTATTAGATAGTCACATAGGCGACTTAAAATCCAGTTTATCATGATTGTGCAGACATATAAGGGAAGTATTAGCCCTTTTACCGTAGTATAACTGGAAGAAAGAACTTATAAGATTTTCCGCTATAATGTTAGAAAGCTAAACTCACACCTTTACTAATTTAGTAACGAGTATTCAAGAGTTGTGGTTCTATCAGAACCGTCTGCAAAAATTCTATTAAAAGACTGTTTACTTACAAAAAATGGCCTTCACAACACAAGGACCTCACAGGTATTACTTCTGGAGTAAGCAGCTCTTAATTTGATATATAGAAAATTTTGCTCTTTTATTATCACTTGTTTAAAACTCCCTCTCTTCTCGCGTAGTATTTAAGTATACCGCCTGAAATGTAGGTAGGGAAGATTGACAAGAACAAACTAATTGCGTTGCTTGCCATATATACAAACAAACGCACTCTGAATCAACCACAAAACCTAGCTCCCGCGCAATCTTTAGCGTAAACAGAAAAGCTGTTTGTGGGGGCACATGCTAGAAACATACAGGAACATTCTGCTAACATAGTTTCTAAACTTTATTTCTGTTTGAGTCTGCAGTATAAACAAAAATATTAGGTTAACAAACGGAAATAACAAATATCCAAAAAAATAGATATTAAAAGTAAAAAGGAATGAAAAGCAATGAGTACAAAACAGTATTAGTAACGAGCATTGCCTCGTAACGATTACGTGTGCCACCAGTTGTACATTTTGTTGGCGAAGCTCCAACCACGGTTAATATACTGTATACAAAATGTGCTTATTCTTAGTTTAACAAAGTCAAGTTTAGTAGTCAAAGAATTAGCAACTAAACTGAGCAAGCGTGCATTAGGATTGATAAGAAGAAGGAAAAAAGTAGTTGTTTACTAAAACAAATAAACTTTTTTATATGCGCACAAAATAATATTAGACCCACTGTAGCAAAGAACAAAAAGTGGTTTAGAATCTCTTACCTTATGGGCCAAAGAAATAATCAATAACATCCACGCTGAAGATCCTCTCCTTTGGGGCACAATATACAATATAAGAAATATCTCGAACTCGCTCGAAGTTATAGATGGCAAGGTTTCGTGTGATAAAAGAGGGGAGAGCTTCTGTAGAAAGATTGAGTTTTATTTTTTACTTGTATAATTATTGCAAACATACTACACTCGACACATTATCATATTACTGCTTCATTAATGTTTCCCTTAATTAAGCATCTTTAACAGCAAATAAAAAGCTTTTGAATGACGAAAATAAGAATGCTCTAAATTGTTTTTGCTAACCCTTCGTTAGTGTCGCGAGGCATGATACCCTAGCCTTGGTTCCATCGTCACTACCATCTGACGGGCTCTCTGACAAAGTGGGGTGTGTATAAATCCCCTGTTTCTTTGATATAAGTAGAAAACGTATTATTTTCAATATATCTATTAAAGATAATGGTTACTTTATCTTCCAGCACACTAAGGAAAGGTTAATGGTTTTGGTTACGAGTTTATATTATGTTAATGTTTGTTGGGAGGTGGTGCACTTTTATCGAAAACCAAACACTATTTGTAAATTAGCTTTTTATAGTAACAATAACTATGCTTCTTTTGGTTGCATATAGAAAGGCTTATAAGGCTATATTGGTATACTGGACGTGTATTTGGCAAGGAAAATAACAGTTGCGAGTTTTGAAAGTCTGCAATACAGGAGCAACTCAGGAAAAAGTTAATGAAATTGGTAATGACCCTAATAAACCAGTATGAGGGTTGCTTTGATTATTTAGTAATGGCATCAGTTCTTTCGGCTTTCCTTGCTTAAAGCGTCCCAATAATTTTTCGACACCTTATTTCTAGGGTAAGCAGAGTAGGAGTACAATGATTACCGAAAAGGGCTTCATCGACAACCCGGTGGTACTTTTCGAAAATAGCTATAGCTCTCGGGCTATTGTTTTCAATAGGGGTTGTCTTAAGTGGTGTTAAGTTTCTTTTAGTATGACGCTCTGTTTGTTAAGGATTACTTGTCTTAAGAGCAAAAGAATTGCGATAATGATTGCTGAAAGTAAAGTAGATGTGGCACCCTTATGTTGTAAAAATACCTTTGTTACTTATTGCTTGAGGCTAAAAAGCCATCTAAATCACCATAATCTCACATAATGACCACGAAACCTTATAAACTGTATTTTAAATACAGAAAAACGGGATACGGAAGCCTAAAGCAACCGTATTTATTATAAAAACATTTAAAATTAAAAATTTAGAAAACTTTAAGGATATTTTGCCCGGATACTATTATAACCAAATAAAAATTATAACGTTCTATAGAGAGAGAAAGCGGGAAAAAAATTAAACTAATAAAAGGCAAACTAACACTAAAAATAAAAGTAAGCAGATAATATAAAAAGAATAATTATCATTAAAACAAATTATAAAAACAAATAAAGAACAAATGAAATTTAAAACAGGTTGAGTGTAAAGGTAATACGCCGCTTTATTATAAAGATATATAACTATTAATGCATCCTGGTGATAAAAGTCCCTCGTGCTCGTCAAATCAAGTACAAAGCAGGACGTATACCCTAATAAATGAGTTTCTACCCCCCTGCTAAGAGAAGCGTTCACTTTAAGCGTGGAGGGAAAAATGGATTACACACCAACATGCTGAATATCCTTGAAAACACCCAAGGTTAGAGAGGTATTTAGCCTTTTGCATATTTTAGAGAATCGCATAAATACAATTGCTAAAAGGGAAATTCCTTGCAAAAACAGTTTTTGAACAGCTCTTTATTTATTACTTTGCTAAATTTGCATTCATTTAAGCAGTTTAAATAGTGACCTAAAGAGTGCTCATGTAGAACAGAAAGTGATTAATGATAAAAGATGTTTTTAATACCGCTATATCAGGTATATTACTAGTCCCTTTAAGCGAGGTGAGCAGTTTCCTTCAGCCTATTACTCTAAGATTAGAATGTAACCAGAAGGTAAACCTATAAGGTATTACCTGTAAGAGTCAAAGGAAAGCGAGCTCCTTCCATAGGTCTATTGTCTTCTCGAGTTTTTTCCTATTGTAAGTGCTGTTTCCAACCATGCGTAAAGGTACTTTAGAAATCTCCTAGGAAAACATATGGAGCTTTATAACTTTGAAACCAAGCAATTTAACGAAAAACAGGAGAAATTGGGTACTTTCTCCCTTTTATTGTCCTTTAATACTTCTTGTGAGAAAAAGGGTTCGCTTGGGTGGGAATTATAGTCAAGCCTTAGCTTATGTTTCCTACTAAACTCGTCCAATCAGCTTCCTTGTTTTTACATTTATTTTAGTGTTTGTTTGTCTTGATTTGTTGTTTCGTTTTCGTTAAGGACCTCAGGCAATTGGTTTTATAGTGTTCCCACTAGAGACGCTTTTTATGGCAGAAGAATTAGCAGTTAAATTTAACTTGACAGTGGAGAATCTAAGCAACGTTTGTAGTAGCCAACAGTGCATTTTAGTAAGTTCTAGAGAATACAACGTCTTTCAAGATCATAGAAATTGGATTTATAGGAAAATATGGGAATCAACTTTGTTACTCAACAAATTTTTTAATCGAAACCTTCATTCTAAATATATAGAAAACCATATTTTATCAAAGAAAAGAGAGTTTAACTTAAGTGACACAAGTATTACTCTTCTTGAGCTTGGCTCTGGAACTGGTGCGGGGGGTCTTTTAATAGCCAAAGCTTTAGCTAGCAAAGGTTTATTAACTTTTTTTTGGCTTATTCAAGAATTTAGAGTACTCTTGTAAATTTTATATTTATTAATTTTCGTTTTAGTCCTTTAATATTATATGTTTTTGTAGAAATCACTCTTTACTTATCGCCCCTCCCTTAAATTTTGTATTAATTACCTACTTTGTTTTAAAACAATTATTTTTAGAATGGAAACTTAACCTCTTTTTAACTGACTTGCCGGAAGCCTTGCCTCTTCTTAGGAGCAACGTACAGCATTTTTATAATATTTAACAGTGTTATTTTTGGAGATAAGATTTTGCAATAATTAAGTATTCACCTAACGTTAGTAGATTGCGAAAAATTCTTTTTCTTTTGAAATTTGTAAGGATCTATTGTCAATTCACCAAATTTCAGCTGATATAGGTCCCTTCGGTAATTAAAGGTGAACAATTTTTTAAAAAAATTTTAAATTATACATTAGTTACTGCCACGGTTTTACCTCTGGAATGGGGAAATTTAAATCACACACACGCTTTTCTTTCTAGTACGGTGGAAAAGCCTGATTTTATATTTGCTGTTGATTTAATTTACTTTCCCGAATTATATGAACCGTTAATAGACACTCTGGTGCTTCCTTTTTCCATTTATATTAATAAGAGTATATACAAGATTTGCAGAACATTTAGTTGACTTCCTTTTTCGTAAGTTGTGACCTTTTCCCGCATCTTAACAAATAGTGACTATTATCTCTTACAAGTAAATTATTTAGAAACTTATTATTTTTAGATCCAGACTTGTGGTGTTCAAACTCGAATTTTCCTATTTTATAAAATGAGAAATCTGGAGGTGCGTTATAAACTTTTTAAGTACTTTTATATGTATTTCGCCTATTAAATTCTAAAGTTAGAAGAGGGATTCTTTATGCTTTTTGGCAAGTTCTTTAACTGGACTAGAATCGTAGATGAGGAACTTTATGATGGCGAATTTGACTTCCACGAGTATTTCGTTTTCTTAGGAACGAAGAGGCAGAAGTTTAAAACTCGTAACTGCGATGAGTTCCAATTGATGTTAAACAGACTTTGCTTGCTGCATTGAGTTCTTCTGAGATTATATTGTTGCTTATTAGAAAGATGTAGACTTCTTTTGTTATTTTGAGAGGTCAAACTTATCGTGCTCTTTTTGCACTAAATAATCGTATGCAATTTAAAAAAAATTCATTAATAAAGTTTTAAATAATCATAACGGACGAGTTAATCCTGTCAAAAGTCACTATAGAAATTAAGTTTTAGCTTCATACAAGGCACATTATAATTTTTTTTAAAATATTAATTTAAAGAATACGAAAACCCTATAGTGCATCAAACTACTTTCCTGCATCTCTTTTATACATTGCTACTAGCATATTCTCTAGCACTTGGAAAGACACGGTTAAACGCATAATCTATCGAAGGCCAGAAATAAAAGCCGCGCCGGTGGGAAAGGAGCCCGCGCTTCTCTTGCGACGGATTATGAATTTAACCGGTATACTACCCTCCTTGTGTTAAGGGGACGTAGCTTAATAGTAGAGCTTAAAGTTATTATGTATATAGACCTGACCATAATGTTTAAAAACTAATTATTTACCTTTTAATAAACTGGTAACCTCACTGTAAGAAGGATCTTTTTATTTTATTGAGGTCTTTTTACTAATAGTGAAAACATATGAACTATACCTTAACTTATCATACAGCAGTTTGCTATAATTATCCCTTGTATTCACTTCATTAAAGATTTTATGGAAATTATTTTATTAAAAGTTCACTTTTTAAAGAATTGAGCAAAGTGACAGGGAATTTAATAGACCTATAAATAATAATCTGCAGTTTTACCGAATTAGGATAGAGACTAATTGCTTACAGATTTGTCAGTTTAGTATAATAAAGAATTTTACTAGTTAAGTAAAGTACTGAACTGCGGTCATAATATGCGCACAAGTATTCCTTTCCTCTAAACGTTATGGGTCCCCCAAAAGTGAAGACCGTTTCTCGATCCACTAAGTGTTTGAGGTTTTTTTCCAGCAGAAAATCCCTTTTAATACGTTTTTACCATTTTAATGCTTAACTTTCCGGAATCTTTATTCCAAACAAACCTTGAGTAACGACCCATCACCACAAGGACCCGAACGTAATTGCCTTTTGTTTTGTGTATACCCCTCCCCTCCACTGCTATTTGTTATAGTGGCCCTCCCGTAAGATTTCATAGGTTCAACTTTTCTCTGGGTTTTGCTTCGCTTGTATGCAAATCTCATATATATATATATGTATATATCGCACTCTTGTGTTACTTTTCAATAATGTCACTTCTTGCAAACCGCATAATATTTCTGCTATTTTTATAACATCATCTTTAGTCAACTGATTCGGAGTATAAAACTAAGATTTAATTTTTAAGTGTAACGAGAGGCTCGCTTTGGTTTCTCTGCAATCGCATGGTTTTCACCCGGTACTTTAACTTACATATATGACTGTTCGTGACTTGGCGCATTCTATACACACGTTTTCGCTGTTAAACCCCTTTTTTTACTATTCCTCTGATCTTTATGTTCTGTCTATACTATGAGTTTGTAATAACTAGGTTTTATGTAGCCCGCAAGTTTGTAGGTTGATGAACCAGGAAACAATTAGCTTTTCTATCTGTTATGCCGTAATATCTTTAAGCAAAGTTTGGTTTTTACTTACAAAGGCGAGATAAAGACCTACCTCCCATATTACTAGTATAAAGAAGCTCTTATTACAACAACGCTTGCATCGGGTTACAATCTTAAGGTACTAGTAGGGTTTTATCAGCTCAACAACAATTCTCCTACAGATTGTCTTTCTCCCTTTTTAAAGCCTCCCCTTTTCTTAACGACCCACTTCGCTCCAATAGAGTAATTTGAAGCTTATAGAAAAACTTAATAATATTTTATTACATTTTTGTTTTCAAACAAACACTTCTACGCGTTTTCATTCACAACTCACTCTTACCCCCTTATTTATCACCTTCCTACTAATCTTTTACATCACTTTTTGCAACGTTGCATCTTTCTAACCTAATTCTAATACCATACCTTAAATCCTTTCCCTAAAGCTAACAAACTTTTGTATTGGTCTTCTCGATCCAGCTACTTATCCCACTGATAATACGGTTTACTACGAAGAGGAATGAAATATTCCGGGCCTCACATAAATACGGAGCCATTTTACTTAATATTATGAAGCATTGCTCGGTTTTATCCTTTATAGGGTTATCTTCGAAATATCAAGTCAAAACGTCGTTTATTGGCTTGACAACAGACCGTTAAAATAAACTCCTCAAGCAAATTCAGTACAACAAATAATTTGGGATTCACGCGTTTTTAAATTTTTTTTTTTTGAAAGGTCTAAATGTGCAACCGAAATTATAAAGAAGCTATTTAAAAAATGTTCTTCTTCATCGAAATCGACAGTTAAACGCTGTGTTGCTGAATTTAAGATAGTCGGACAAGTACCACTCACGAACCACGATGTGAATGACCCAATGTAGTAACTACGCCAGAGATAGAAAAATTCCCCAAAATCGTTTTGACCGCATAGTATAATTGAGAGAGATAGCTGAGACTGTATGCATTTCAACTGAACGGGTAAGTAATATTTTAAACGAAAATTTAACGATAAATAAGCTTTGCGCCAGATGGGTGCCGCATTAGCTGGTAAACGACCAAAAACATTGTCGAAAGAAAATACACCGAATGTTTGGAGCTCTATAGGAGCAATCCAATCTAGTTTATACGTCGAATTATATTATTGAAGAGACTTGCGTCCATCATTATACCCCTGGAGACCAAACAACAGTCGAAATAATGGACTGCAAGAGAATAGCTTCGTAGAAGACAAAGATAGTTGTATCGGCTAGCAAAATTTTGGCGGATGGGGCTTGGGATAATTTTTATTAATTATCTTCAAAAGGAAAAAACGATGAATAGGGAGTGTTACATGAACTTACTGAAAAATTTAATACAGTTCATTAAGACAATATACCAATTCGCACGTCACCCCTCGCAAATTAATTGAAGTTTAAATTACTTCGCCACAAGCATACTCACCAGATTTAGCCCCGGGCGACCTCAACTAGTGGCTTGGTGGAAAAGGATTTGCTAACAGTAAGGGTCATCGACGCTGTAAATGAGTATTATGAGAATTTAGACTATTTGACCTCTCAGTTTGGCATAGCGGCTTAGAACATCATGATAACAAGTGTATCGAGCTAAATAGGGACTATGTTAGAAAATAAATTCTTATAAACCCAAAAAATGTTTGTTTTCCTGTTCAGGCCCGAATTTTATATAATACTCCTCCTTCGTAGAACGTCTTTCTCTGACATTGTAGAGCAATATATTTTCAAAAATCATCATTAAATTGTTTGATAAAATATCTTTGCCTAACCAAGCGTAGTTGAAATTCATTCTTCTCGCCCTCAAGTTTATAAATGTTTTTAGAAGCACCCTTTTTTCTTTAAAACTCAAGTCTTATTTTAATCTTGCATAGCATCACATAACCGCATTAACTTTTCTCCTTATCAATCTCTTACTTGGTTGCCGTCTTAATTTCGGGTTTCCCACCACCCAATCATAGTTTAAAAATGGTCGGTTAGTTTGAATTAAAGAAGTGTTCGCATTATTTACATAGGCTTCTCTTAGTCTATCTTTATATCTTTTATATGCATCACACCTGAGCTGCTCTAAGAAATTATTGGGTCAGAACAAGACAAACCATTTAACATTTTATATGAGAGATTCTAATCGGTTCTTACTCTTAGACATTTTATTCAGACTTGGTTGTTAAAAACAAATGCAGCGACTATGTTTATAATGGCAACAAATATAAAGGGATTGTCACTCCTAATAAAGAGTTATTAGCTGTTGTTGAGGCTTTTAAAGCTTGGCGTTACTTCATATATCCATTAGAATATACCGTCACCGTATCGAAGGATCATTCACCTTGAAATTTCTACTTAGAAACAGAACATAGAAGACAAGGAATTAACGATATATTAGAATACAACTTTACATAACTTTTAAACCAGTAAAGTTACATTCCAAGCCAGATAACCTTTCTTGTCTTCCTACCAAACCGAGCTTTAGCCTCATCGTATACAGCCCTTTTGTATTGTGAGACTGTCGCCAATGCATTAAACTATGCACTATTAGAACGTTACCTGATCGAAAGTTTAATATAACTTAAGATTGGAGGCCACTGATTCTCAAACCTAAATATATTTTGTCAATAGATCTCTTTCGCCAACCCTTTGAAGATCAAGATCTTTTACTTAAAAAGATTGTAGCCCCTACTACTCGACCACGCAAATTAATTTATATAACAGACAAAAATATCCAATCAGCGGTCATTTTAGATTTTGTGAAGTAGTCGAACGATGGTATTTTTTGCGAGGTTTATATTAGATGTCAGTAAATTCTTCTCTGTTATTAATTTTCCCAACCAATTAACTCCTCGCATCAATAAAAATTTTTTCTTTACCTCTGCCGGTACCTAACAACTACTGGGAAGATGTTTTCTCGATCTCTCATTGGTAAAGGGTTTGATCCGTGATAGTTGCTAATTGCAGACTTTTTAAGATGAGTCATTTTATTCCTACCAGTAATCAATAAATTCCGAAAAAACAGTGGATTGGCAGTAATTTTTTTAGCTTCATGGGTTTCGGAAAAGTTTAGTATTATCTATGGCCCCCAGTTAGTTGCTGAATTCTGAAAGTGCTTTTTTAAGTGATCAGGCTGTAAAATTTGTATGTTGACTTCCTTCGGCACAAAGTCTCATCACAGAGGTAATTAACCAGGTACTAAAGCAATATCTAGGAGTACAGTATGCTATCTTAAAACCAATTAGATAAAACAGCTGACTTTCCAGCAGAAATCATATACAGCAATATGTTTGTTATTTCCACCAGCCTCCCTCCCCACTTTTAGTTTGTACAGTTTTAATTCTCCGTTTGTTTTCACAACAATTCCGCAAACTATATCTCATTTTGCAGAATTACAAGTAGAATTACTGGAGTTTATCCATTCTGAACTTAAGGCTAAACTAACACACATACTACACATTATAGTAGCAACTTTAATGCTAAACGTCACCCGCTCAGAATTATAGTTCACCATC